TGTAATGCTATGTATCTGTGTATCTCTATGTAATGCTATGTAACTGTGTAGCTCTATGTAATGCTATGTAACTGTGTCGCTCTATGTAATGCTATGTAACTATGTATCTCTATGTAATGCTATGTAACTGTGTATCTCTATATAACTCTACGGCCGAGAATAGGTTTTCCCCTTTTTTCTCGCAACAAAACAGGTGTTGAAATGTTAAAACAGCCAACTGAAACCTTTTACAACGAATCATGTCTGCAATAACCACAATACTTGCGTGTCAAAATGCAAACAAAAAAAAACATACTCTGATAATAAATGCATTGTCTTTGAAACTGATTGTTTCCACACCAGAGACAGCTTTCTTTTGAGCCTCGTCTCAAAACGGTGTTAGACCCAGAGGACGCCAAAACGGCTCTCTATGTAACGCGATGTAACAGCAGCGGTAACTGCCGCCACTGCCGCGGCTCTTGGGCCGCGGTCGTTCTTGTAAGAGAGCTGCTCAGTTCAGTGAGGCCTCGCCCAGCTGCGATAACAACGTCCGAGTCCACCAGCCGCAGCCACCACCGCCACGATGCCACGATGCCACGGGCACGATTGTGAGTGCATCGCCCCGCTGCTTTTCGTTCATCGTCGTCAACGTCGACGGCGTCGTCATCGTCGTGTCAAAACTGCTCGCGGAATTTAGCGTTTTTATTGGAAGTGACATAATTGCGCTTTGTGCTCGATTGCTATTGTTTGTCATTTGGTGGACAGCGTGCACGCATTCACGACGACCGAGGAGGAGCAGTGCCGAGAGCTGTCGTGCGAGCTGATTTGATCGGCGGTAGACGCATATCGTGTACATTGCGGTGTGCTGATCGCGCAGTGTACCTGGCACATCCCTGCAAATAATCAAACATTCTTCAGGTCTTGCATTGATCCAGGCTGTAAGCCACACGATCATTTATATACCAATGCATTGTGAAAAACGAGTCTATATTTTCCGTATGTTATTTACAATGTGAGTAGGATATGTGCAGCGGATGACCGATGTCTCAAGATTATAAGTAATGCATGTCAGATATCCTGCTCTGCACGTGTATGAAGATGCTGCTTAATTCCTAATTAGCGCGACTAATCACAATCTTATGTTCACAAGTAAAAATCTGGATCCTGACACTAAAATTGGACATTCATTCGTGAGTATATAGCTCATGTTCCACCGTGATAATATTGCATACATTGAGATGTGTTACCGTCAAATTATTTAATATTGTTGCTTTTTCATCCTTCCTGAATCCTTCCAAGCTGCTTCCGTGTTAACCAAAAGTTCATCTGTATGGATACATTCATTTTTTTTATTTTGCCTTGATATCCTGCTCTTAAAAAAGCTTAAGAAGTTGATCACTTGGGCTGTGGAGATGTACGTGCTAATCGGAACTGCGGGGGGGGGGGGGGGGGGGGGGTGGACACAACAACCTAAACACAAAAAAGCAGTTCTAAACAAGTGAGTTTTCAAACCTAGATGATTTAAAAGTGCACAGATGCAGCGTTGAAGGGGGCAACCAGTTGCGGCCTCTTTACAACGTGTCCATGTGTCGGCCTCGCTGCGTATTCTCACGTGATCTCCTTCCCAAACTTCTGCGTACGTGGTTGCTGAGTATGGGCCCAAAACGCCAAGCAGCCAGCAACAAACAGCACTCTTGAAGGCGTAACAGACGAGTTATTCATTTTGCCCGATTTTTAACAAATCATGAGAACTTGGGAAAGCAGACAATGTTAGGCAACGCCAAGGAGGACGAGGAGCGGTGTGAGGAAAGAAGCGGTAAGAGTGTTTTGACCTGCAAGCGTGGTGGTTGAACACGGTGCGACTGGGATGAGTTCACACGCTCAAGACCGGTAGACCGAGTCCTCAGCATGGGGTGGAGGAAATCAATGAGTGGAACACATGGGAAGAGCATCCACGGCACACTCGTGGCGATAGAACGGTGACAAGGAATGCGAGTAACCGAAGCGAATCTGGCACCGCCGTCTCATTAGCCGCCGAAGAGGTTGAAGAGGTTAGCGACGGGCACGCTGGCCGGCCCAGCTGGACAGCGCGGTGAGCTTCGGGGACTTTTGCCCGAGCCGATTGCTTTGTCTGCGCAGCGCGGGGCGGACTTTGACCGACGTTCGGTGCTGAGCCGTCACGGGGGCTCTCCGTGCCGGGCTGAGAGGCCATCGCTGCCGTTGCCCCGCAGCGCTCGGCTCTTGAAGGGGTGGGTGGGGGATGGTGGCGAGCGAGGATCCCCCCCCCCTACACCCCACAGGCTTGGATTGAGAGGTACAAAGCAATACGTGGAGGGAAGAGGCTTTTCTCTGCGTCTGTAGCCTGGCTTTTGGACTTCAGTGTCATGGCGCAGCCCAAATTGAATTGAACATTTTTCAGTCACAATAATATTGCATTAAATTCACCGTCGTGGGGTTCGCCTGTTTCGCATTTTAACCGTCGCCGGGATCCGTGGTGCTTAGGCATACACACTTCATTATTAATACAAGACATTTTGCTGATGTGATACTCGTGAAATATTTTCGTTTCAAGCAAATTGCATATTACAGTGGCGGAAATCTTTGGCACTCTCTTCGCGGGCACGGATGTGTAGATGTGCGCGGCCAACATCTTTTGCCGTGGCCTCTGCCGTGCTCTCACCCAGGGTGTGCTCTCATTCGTGTTTGTGGACCAGAAAGGGGCCTTGGTGCAAACTGTCACTGTTGACTGTGCTCACTTTGGCTTTTGAATAAACGATGTTCATGTTTTTTCTCAGAACGGCAAACCTGTTAATGAACTCTCAGCTCTGCATTTGTTGTATGCTCATATTTTTTTTTCTCCCACTCTGCCCAGCAATTGACAAGTTTGCAGGTATACATATCACACGTGTTAAGGAAATCATGTTTCTCGCTTAACTCTTGCCACATGTTACGTGCGCTGTAAGCGTTCGCGTTTAGTGCGTGTTTTTTTTAAAAGCACACAACAACCAAGCCGAAATTCGTGGTGCCAGTTGTGTTAAATAGCCACCTCATGATTCACTCCCCCCCCCCCCCCCACACAATTTGAAGAATTGTTATGAATCAAGGTTGTGAAATAATCCAAGAATGAATCCTTTGGTGTCTCGTTTATATTGTCTGTCTCATAAGTTCCGTGCGGACTTGTTTCGTCTCGTGCCATTAGCCCAAGTGTCACACTTGCATATGATTGCATAAATAGTAAGTAGCCGATTCGCTACACGTGCGTATCGGAAGCATGATTACGTGATTTTAATTGACGAATGATGACATGCCTAATATTGCCGTGTGCACGTGTCACAGTGTCACTGTTGGCGGTCAACAGAAGATTCCGGGTCAATTGTTGAAGCAAGTCCTGAGGATTTATTTGCTTATGATCTTTACAGTGGCCCTGTGCGTCAGGAAGATTCACTGACAAAAAAAAACAACAACAACAACATGGACCCGTTCGTTGCGTTCACGCGACATGTTGAAAACCGCGTGTGCTTTGTAGCGACCGGGGGTGGCTGCCTCCTTGCTGGCCTTTTGTCCCTCTTCGTTCCACGACGGTGCGAAGGGTAATGGGCGAATATTTTCATGGCATCTCCAAGCCAGAGCCGCGGAATGCAACACTCCCACACGAGGAGCGTGTTAGGGGAGAAATCGACCCTTCTTCGTGCGGTTGTCCATTGCCAATCGTGCGGCACGCTCAGTCGAGCAGAGACAGGGCAGAGTCGACGGGAGAATGGAGGAAATCCAATGCCTTTAAACGAGGGTTGCGTTTATATATGCGCGTGTTTATCAAATGAGCATTGAGGCGGTGCTTATCTCCTGCTTACAGCCCGGAGCCAGTGGTGAAAATTCCACATTCCTATCGTGGGGGTGAGTCTATCCGTAAGCCAACTGTTGGATTCCCCACAAAGTTTTATTTTACCCCCTGGAGTCAACCCCCAAGCAGCATTTGAACTTGTGACCTTCTGACTTTGGGCAACTTGCAGGACAGCTGAGCCACTTGGCCGGTTGTTGTTGCTGTTATCATCACAGTTAGCTGTTGCCTGTGCGCTCACCATTCTTTATGAGCTATAGGGGTTGCGGCACTGGCCAAGCTGATGCAGGGCAAATGTCACGGGTACGGCGAAACTATGATTTTATTATTATCGATGTCACGTAGCGATTCGTAAGTATGCCTTCGTAAAGGGTTGTGTGTTTTTAGGCTCGCATGAATGTGAATGGTATAGTATATTGCGTCATGTGTGCACTTATCAAATAACGATTTAAAAAAATAATAAAAGCACACGTTTGTCGTCTCGTCTGCGTGAGTGCTTGCGTGCCTGGTCATGCACAGCTCGTGAGAGTTCCACAGCTCCTGATTGTCTTCACCTTGGCGGAGTGGTCAATCTCGTATATTCTCTTCGGACCAGATGTTTTTGTTCTCTTATTTCAAGTGACGTTTCTGATTGGTGTTTTCCCCGCAGTCTGAAGGACTCCCTTTCTAGCGGAGGGTGAAGACCAAAAGTGCAAAGATGTTGGCTTTTTTTTACTCTAATACGTTTGTGTGTATTGCAGTGTTTTCATCTCTCCTCATGGTTCTATTCCATTTTCAAGTCAAGCCCATACAATCAGTGTGTGTGTGTGATTTTGTACACAGGACAAATGCTTTGAGATCCCAGCAGAATATAACAAAATATGCTGTTCAATTGCTTATTGTTACTTTTGCAGAGGTAAAAACTAACTTTTGTGCATTTATCCATTGTTACTTTAAAAGGACATCATGATCCATAGATTTTAATATATATCGCCTCAGCTCTTAACTTGATGTTATTTTTTTTAAACATACGCGTGTACAGTTATTTCAGGACAAATTCAGGAATGGATCTTTGCCGTCAGAACGCGCCTGCATTGAATATATCCGTGTGTAACTGGCCTTGACATGCTCAAGCACAATTTCATATCCCTTCCCCGTTTCTTTCTCGCTCTTTCTCTCGTGTGCCTTTTGCTTGGTGGTGCAGAATCGCATGCATGAATCCCTCATGCTCTTTGATTCGATCTGCAACAACAAGTTCTTCATAGATACCTCCATCATCCTCTTTCTTAACAAGAAGGACCTCTTTGCAGAGAAAATAAAGAAGTCGGCCCTCGTTATCTGTTTCCCAGAATACACAGGTACGGGCAACATCGTTTGCCGATTATTAATTCACACCTTTTCTTAAGGGGGACTTGTTGATGTGTTTTTATTGGCTACTATGGTCAAATGTACAAGCAAGGGTGGTTAGTTTTAATTCGACTCTGAGAGCAAGAAATATCTCGCTATGCGCTTGGTTACTGCCCTTAACTACTGTAGGGTTAAGTGTCATTTATGTCTGACATTGTATAACCTTTCTCCTCAAAGAATGTTGGCATAAATTAGCGTAAAAAATCCTTTAAACAATTGTTATTCGCAAAAAAGTGAAATGTTCTACGATTATTTATTTTGCTCAGCATGTGCACATTTTCAGTCTATAACAAATGAACACGACAAAATGTGTACGTGCAGGCTTTTGTTAACATTTTACCAACAGTATATGTTTACTGGATATTGAATACGGCACGAGCGCAATATAAAAAGGCCACTATCATTTTTAGAAGAAAAAAATCCCTTCATATCTTTTCCTAAACTCAACGTCGGCATGAGTAAGAAATGTGCAGGGCTGCAAGTTTATTTTAACAATCTGGGGCTTTTGCGTTCTTACCCGGTTAAACAAATTCAATTTTCTTATATTAGGGGGGGGGGGGGGTAGGAAGGGAAGTCTATTTATTTGTCTTCGTTGTCCATTAACAGGTCCAAACACGTTCGAGGATGCAGCTGCCTACATCCAGGCCCAGTACGAGAGCAAGAACCGCTCGCCCAACAAGGAGATCTACTGCCACATGACGTGCGCCACTGACACCAACAACATCCAGGTCGTCTTTGACGCCGTCACTGACATCATCATCGCAAACAACCTGCGTGGCTGTGGCCTGTACTAGGCTCTCGCGCCCCCCCCCCCCCCCCCCCCCCCCCATGTACCGCCCCTTCGTTTTGGTAGAATTAATCAGGGAGCCAGAGCCGATCTCGTCGTATTCGCCAGAGTCCCGACAGTTGTATTGCTAAATCATTTGCTACACTGTGGACTTACCTAATGAAGGCCAATTTTTTAAAATTGTAGTTTTATTTTTAAGTTACTCAGATCTGTGAATGGAAGTTGTAGCTTGTTTTATTTGAATCCACTGACACCGCTCTATCTCTCAAAAAAAATACTGTGAAATTGTGGAAGTAAACTGTAGTTATTTAAAAAAACGTCATATCTCCTTGGCAGTAAACTCCTTTAGGATGTTGCAGCACCCAATCAAAAGTTACACTTGTTCGGATGACGGTTTATAATGAAGCTATTATCCAATACGATTTTAAAACTTCTTAATGCCATTTTAAATCTTGCAATGTTTTACCACTTGAGTTCCAGTTTCATTTTCCCGCGCCAAATAAAATCGGTAAAATAACTCAAACTGAAAACAACTTCTTTTCCAAAGTCACGCTTCAAAACATGCTGAGATTTCCAAAAAAAGCCTCAACTATTTCAACAAACAAAATTGTCGGTTGGTTTCCAAAAATCTAGGTTGTTGGGCTCATTCATTTCGTTGCGTTTTTGCAAATGAGGCATTTAACAAAAAATAATAATAAGCACGCATTTCTGATATTCCTAGCAATTTTTAAGAAAAAAATGTATTCCGGTAATGCTGCCAAAGGTTGACTAATGCGTGTAAGTCGCCGCTCCTGTAGTTGACACACTGGCTGGGTTTGCATGTGGCGTATATAACAGCAGTGCTCAAAACCCACCCCGTTGCTTTTGTTGCTTCACGCTTTGGCACAGAGGGGTGGCCCCTTTTGGCAGCGACATCTAAAGTTGGCGAGATAAAATATATATAAAATAACCCCTCTCTCATTAACTCTTAAATGAGCACTTTCCTAGAGCGTGCGTCATCGGTCACATCAATTTGCTTTCGTGAGTTCTTCTTTCTTGATCGGCGCTACCAAAGGGTAGCTGGATAATTTGGCTATAAACTGGCTCACAGAAGGCTCCTCCAAGCCAGATGGGTGTTGACAAGTGCGCATAATTTTTTGAGTGTTCATGTCCGAGAATTCTGGTTTCATCCCACATTCAAATCATCCAGTTAGGAATCATTAAACAACAAATGGTCTCTATACTCACACAAGGTGCTGCCGGATAAATAGAAACATCATTGCCAGATCACATTAGCAGGGGCGGAGCCACAGGGGGGGCTGGGGGGGGGGCTTAGCCCCCCCCCTGAAATTTTGGGAAATTCGGTAATCTGGATAACCGGATATCTGGCTGCTGCAAAATGCTGCAGGCTGCCACCTCGTGCTGCCCTGCAGGCTGCTTGAGCGGCAGCCTTTCGAACTTATCGAACTTATTAGCCACTTCAGCGGCTCCGACCTATTGATAAACTCCGCGTTCAAATCTAAATAAAATTTGTTTTATACATTTGTGGCGCCCATTGGAAAACATACACTGGATATCTCAGAATATTTAAATCAACCCCCCCAAAGTCAAAATCCTGGCTCTGCCCCTGCACATCAGTGAATACAACTTCATTAATCATTAATCTTGGATAAAATGCAGAATAAATCTTCTTCGCCGTCACTCTGTTACCCATGACTTTTATTATTTGCGGCTGTGGGGCCTCTGAAAACTCTCCTTATCGGTGGCCCTATTCTTGCTATTATCTGCGAGTATCCATGATTTTTTTCCCGCAGGTAAGTACAGTAGATGCGCAGATAACAGGGATCTGGTAACATTGGTCAACCACATTAACGCAGATGGGAGGTCTCCTGTAACCTAACAGTCCTTGCATCCCACGTGTCCTCTATAGCCCAGGATTGCTTGAGCTCCATTTTTGTAAATTCTGGTGTTCATATTTTTTCACAAACACATGGGTCTTGAGATAAAAGTGATCCAGATGAAGGCACTTCCGATGCCGACGTGATTGACAGCTGCTGTACTCTCTGCTGTGCCTCTATTCTGCACGGATCAATGTTAAGAGACTGACAGCATAGCACAGACCGTGTGTAGTAATGCTAAGGTTTTCACGAAAGTGAGGCAGCCAGGATCGTTGCGGTAGTCTGCAACTCACCGGCCACCATAGAACCATGTTTTGGCCACAAGCCTATCAGAATGTAAATAAAACCTCTGTGGGCTCGCAGAGGATTTTGTCTGCAGTTTGAGGCGCAATGTTAATAGAAGAATAAACGAACCACGTGAATAAAAACATCCAACTAATAACCACTGCATGACATATAGTTACATACCAACGGCGAGTTACATCGCCACTGCTTAAACCTACCTTGCCGTTTCATTCACAGCGAGGAATAAAGAGCCCATTGATTGGATTTTTACTTAAAATAAAACGTACCAGATGAGCTTAGCCAAACCTAACACCATCCTGCCGCAAGAGAGACGCAGGGCGTAAATGCGATGCTGAACGCAGAACTCGCCACCATTCATTCCTGCGGCACTGCGAAAGGTCACAGACAATGGGGCTCTACCCCCCCCCCACGCTGTGGTCAGGAGACGCGATGATTAATCACTGCAATCAATTAATCACTGCCCCCTCCCCACCCCCACCCGGTGCTCGTCATTTGCCCTCCAAACTACGAATCGATTTTTAATTCAACGAGTGCTCTAATTTGATTGGGGATGAATACCAGGCTTGCTCACAATATCAGGCGCCAGTTGTCCCGTTCTGCTCAAGAGGGAGCGGTGGATATGGAAGGCGACTTCCAAGCGCTCTCTCTCTCTCCCCTTCCCTCTCATCCCCTGCGTGGCTTCAAGCGACATCGTCAGAGCCTGCGCGCAAAACACGAAACGTCTCCTCGGACGCGGATCGAATAATCCTCGGGATGACCGGGCACGCAGTTAGCAGTGCTCCACAGATGTGGAGCTTTAATGAGTCACGTCAAATATTAAGCTTCATTGTTTCCTTACACTAGGGCTATGCTGACTGTACGGTAGCCAGTATCGGATGCATGCTGCGCCTTGTCAACCCACGGCTCCCCCCCTCTGCAGATCGATACATACAACTCGTTTTTATTAATGTCATGCATGGAACCTAATTGTTCATAAATCCGATGTGTTGTTTATAAATCACATGCTATACTTTGAAGATACACACGTGCGACCCTTTTTTGTCCATCCACTGTCGTGCGGGGTCTCCCCCCACGCCCCCGTGGCTGGTGGGGGTCTCCCCCCACGCCCCCGTGGCTGGTGGGGGTCTCCCCCCACGCCCCCGTGGCTGGTGGGGGGCTCCCCCCACGCCCCCGTGGCTGGTGGGGGTCTCCCCCACGCCCCCGTGGCTGATGGGGGTCTCCCCCACGCCCCCGTGGCTGGTGGGGGTCTCCCCCCACGCCCCCGTGGCTGGTGGGGGTCTCCCCCCACGCCCCCGTGGCTGGTGGGGGTCTCCCCCCACGCCCCCGTGGCTAATGGGGGGTCTCCCCCACGCTCCCGTGGCTGGTGGGGGTCTCCCCCCACGCCCCCGTGGCTGGTGGGGGTCTCCCCCCACGCCCCCGTGGCTGGTGGGGGTCTCCCCCACGCCCCCGTGGCTGGTGGGGGGCTCCCCCCACGCCCCCGTGGCTGGTGGGAGTCTCCCCCACGCTCCCGTGGCTGGTGGGGGTCTCCCCCACGCCCCCGTGGCTGATGGGGGTCTCCCCCCACGTCCCCGTGGCTGATGGGGGTCTCCCCCACGCCCCCGTGGCTGGTGGGGGGCTCCCCCCACGCCCCCGTGGCTGATGGGGGTCTCCCCCACGCCCCCGTGGCTGGTGGGGGTCTCCCCCACGCCCCCGTGGCTGGTGGGGGTCGCTCCACCGAACTTCGACCACGCTCGGACACCGCGGGTTGGTGAAGGCGGAGGGAGCGTAGTGGTGGCAGCGAATGAATACGGTACAACGATGAATCTTGACTTGAAGCTTTCGCGACTGCAGGAATTCATATCCTTGGGTCTTTCGGTAAAGTCACGTCGATAGGTTCAAAGAAAATAACAGAAAATGATGATAATAATAATAATAAACGACGACGTTTCGATCGCAACACAAGCGGGTCGTCTTCCTTGTTCCTGGAGACGACCGCCGCTTGTGTTGCGATCAAAACGTCGTCGTTTTTTGTTATTTTCTTTGAATCTATCTCGGTGACTTTTCCGAAAGACCCAAGAATACGACAATGGATTTTGCCACACGGCCGTCCGCTGCCCTCAGTGTATCCCCCACAGACTATGACGCCTGTTGTGATGCTCACCCATCCCAGCGCTATCCAGACTCTTGCGAGGCTTAGTTTCCAAGAACTGACAAGCTAAGTTGCGTTCCAGGTATATAGTCACAGCTATTAAAATATAATTACTGTGTTTGTTACTTCAAATAAATTGGTTATTACGGGATGTACACATCAGTACTTTTGATGCATCAATGTAATGTGAATTAGACATCTGAAACATACAAAACATATGGAGTTTATACCAATTCATATTAAGTAATTAAAAATATATTTCGACAAATTCCATTTAATTTCACCAATGTTTCAATGCGGTATAACAACCTATTTTACTCTTCGTAATACAGCCGAGCACCGTGTGACGGGAATTCAATAGCGGTAATCAAATAAATAAAGGTCCTTGCTATCGGAAAGTGGAATTTCCACCACAGGGACACACTGACTTTTAAAATATAGTGAAACATATATTAACATAATTAAAACAGTCAGCTGCAAGATATCTAAAAAAAAAATCCACAATCATAAGAGAAAAGATAAGAGTAAGCTAACGTATAACTCGTTCGTACAAGGGCACGTTTGCGAATGTAGACAAGCGTAAGCACATTGACCCTCTGCGTTGTCGTAGTGGAAGGTATCGTGAGTGACCACGGGGACTTGTGGCCACATCAACACGTCCCCTCTTTTCATGGGCTCCTGGGGGACCACAAGTAACATTTTGGCGCGTTAGTCTCCTCCACCCGCAAATACTCCACACAGTGGCAATGAACACCTGACCAAGGCAGACAGGGGGCTTGTCATATGAACAATACAGATATAATAAAAAAATGTAAATGCTAGCGATAGTAAATCAAACGAAACAAGAAAATACAACAGACTATGAAATAAATAAAAACTGTGAATGGCAAAGAGGGATAAAAGGAAGATAAACATTTTGATTTAAAGCTTTCGTGACTGCAGGGATTCATATTCTTGGTACTTTCGGTAAAGTCACGTGACTTTACCGAAAGAACCAAGAATAGGAAGATAAATCGTTATTTTTTTTAAATGCTTAGACTACTAGTCCCGTTTTAAAACTGTGCGCTAAGTATGAGCATGACGTACTGTACATTATACGTGGAAAACGACGTTCACTCGAAAATGGTCAAAGTATCTCAAGCACGGTGATCTTGTGAGCATATGCGCTCGGAAGTGTTTTCTGAATGGGAATATGTAAACGAAGACAAAAAAAAATACAGACGTAATAATCGGCACGCAAATTATGAATTACCCCGTCACCCAACTATTGTATGTGTATAGCAGTTTTCGGCTCAACAGCGGTTTTACAAAACCGGACAAAGAGAGATCGGGGAGCGATGTCGTCGGATCTGTCAGTCCGACAATGCGTTTTTTGAGGACGCTCTTATTATTTGCCACTGCTGGCATTTTAGATTTGGTATAACCCAGGCAGTAGTCAAGTGCATGACTATTGGTAATCTTACGGACGTACCGTAGCTTGTTTGTGGAGGGTGTGAAGAGTTATTTAAACACGATTCATTTTTATTCGTAGACGAGACAGGTGCTTTATTGTATTTAAACGACGTTTTTGTATAAAGTCCTGCGCTGCGGTGTTGCTGCTGCAGTCTTGACTATCATTTTAAACTTGGCTCAGCTGGCAGCAGCTTTAGCAAAGCTGCCAAACCGCATGGGAAAAATATAACCACTTTGCTGCATATTGTTTGATTCATTGGCCGATGGTGTTTTCGTTTAATTTTTCCTTCGCTGAGAATTTTACATCGTTTTGGATCGTTCACTATAGGATTGTACGTAATATTCTCTAGTGGAGTGACCGTAGGAGCGACAGCTTAATGCATAGGAGCAGAACATTTGTGCGATTCGGCCCACGTTTTACTTCGGCTTTGAGAGCGTTGGCAAAGTTGAGCAATGCGGTGAATTAGCAGACGTTAATTTCCGG